TCGACCTGAAACTCACTGCGTGGCGTCTGTTTCCAGCTAAAAGGCTAAGCTAACATCCTTAGCTTCCTGAGTCGTTATGAGCAAAAAAAAAAAAAAAAAGGATTCTTCAAAAAGGAAGTTTGCTTAAACAGTTCCTTAGCACACAGACCCCAGAGCTTCACTCTGACTGAACCCTGTTGTGACGACAGGAGTTTGTTTGCGTCTTTAAACGCAATTACTTCCGGCAACATTCTTCTTCATCGATGGTATTGGTGGTTAGCAAAAGGCTTCCGCTGCGATAGGGGGGAAAGGATTGTTCCCCCCCCTCCCACAGGAGGCCCCGCCCCCAACTATGACGCGCTGCCGCCCACTGTTCCGGAGTGTAATGACAACACATGAGTCTAAACAACAAGGGATGGGTCATACTGATTTTATTCTAACTGGTCCACATTAATACAAATACTCTAAATTAAAGAATTAAGACTTGTATTTAGAGTTAAAGACAAATATACAGGCGAAACGTCGCTCACAATACTATTTAGTAAAGTTATTTTCAGTGTGTTCAATGGACTTTTGATTTATTTTGGTGGCATGTTTGTAGGCTATGGAACAAATATAAATGTTACATTGTGTATTGATATTATTATGTACGTAGATGTTAGTAGTAAGACTTAAATTAATGAGCTAAACACATAATTAAACCATCTTCAGCTATTTTTTAAAGGAATATTTACAATATAAGGAGAAATCCTTCCTGCATATTATCCCAAATGTTCTTTTGTAAAGCGTCTCGAGATAACATTTGTTATGAATTGGTGCTATACAAACAATGATTGATTGATTGATTGATACCACAGCCTCCCCAGTAGGTGGCGATATGCACCTAAACCTCGGTTTGCGATCCACTAATACACTTACAGAAGACGAACAAGGGACGTGGAAGCGGATGTTGATTTCTTGCTGGATGGAAACAGACGAAGAGGTCGGCTACAAGGCCTCATGATTTCAACGTTTATAGAGTCTGAACCTAAAAATTAAAAAAAAAAAAAAAAATGTCTAAAGTCCAAATGCTGAGATCTTTTGTGAACCAGAGACTGACTGCAGCTGCTGAGGAGATATTTGAGCTGTTAGAGAAAACGATATCAGAGTACGAGGAGCGACTTGATCGATCCAAAGAGAATCAGGATAAAAACATAGGACTGGGAGAGGATTTCAGCCGGGACCTCGAGTTACACACAGCAGGTTTGTCCTTCTTCTTTTTATCCTCACTGAAAACAGCTGACCATCCTCTGCTCCTGACACGTTTTCTGACTTTAAACGAGCCTCTGGACCATCCGATTTATTTATCATGACAAAAAGATTAAGGGTCAATGACGTGACGCTCATTTTTTTGTGTCCATAAGGTTTAGTTACATTTTAAAGGCTTACAATTTTAAAATAAATGCACAAATGACATGCTTTCATCCTTTGTTTTGAGGACCTAGTGTATAATTTAGATTTATTATTAATTTTTAGAGAATATTTGGGGTATGTAGGCAAAAATGTCTAAGTGGTGTAACCGTTGAAACTTGCTTTAAAAAGGTTAATTTTTATATAACACCCTATGAACTAGTCTGGCATAATCTTACAATAGAACTGTTCAATAGTAAATAAAAGTAGTGGAACATCACTGTTCTTATTATTATAATTATTTTACGGAAATCGTGTCACCCAGTCAAGTACCAAATTGTCAACATGGTATGGTCATATCATGTGACAAGAAATGATATCACAAAGAAGAACCCCTGATGGTCCTAACTGCTGCACGCCATGTTTAGCAACTCTCTTTAAAACATGAGATAAGTGGACATTTTAAGGGCGTGGTCAGGTATGTCAAATGGTATGACCTCGGTAAAACATTTACAATTTATGATAATAAATAAAAATTTGTATTCACTTGGAAAATTATATTTGAAATGTTCACACCAGGAAATGTGCTTACATAGGTCTCACTGATAATGCCTGTCAAATTTGATTTAAAGTGGAAATGTCAAATGGTGTAACCGGTTACACTATTTGACTTCTACGTCAAGCCTTTCTGTTAGAGGCCACTTTTGTCAAATATCAGTATTTTTTCTAATGTTGATTACAGTGGTTATTCATCCACAACCTTACTATCAAAAGTCTAGGACAAAATGCAAATGTTTAGCTTCAAATTGCATATTTGTGTTCCATTTACTTACATTTATAAAGGTGCACTATGTAGGTTTGGTAGAGAAATGTGAAAGTTGGAGAAATGTACAGATTATGTGGTATATGTCCATCATAACTCTAAACACAAACTGTCCTCAGATGAAAATGTGGTCCCTTTAACACTGTTTAAGATAAAATGCTACTCGAGAAGTTATGGTGGGGGGCCCGCAACAGTGAAAGCGTAACTCTGCTGGTAGCTTTATAACTCCAAACAGTGTTCCAGGGACCTATTTTTTTAATTTGAATAAAGTTTGTGTATTCAGTTCAGAAAATATATCAAAGAATTGTTTCACTTCTCCAACTTTCAAATTTCACCACCAAATCTACATAGTGCACCTTTAAACATGTATAATCTAATATATGTATGTATCCTGTAATATTGGCGCCAGCAATAGTTGCATTTTAGATGTGTGGGCTTCTAGGGGCCATGTGGTAGGGTAGGTAGTATCAGCATGTCACTACCTGGAGCTTGCTTGCCAAAGTCTGGTACTATAGAAGGTGGCAATGCTGTTTAGACTGTGATGGCCATGATGTAAAGAAGGGGAAATGTAAAGTGTTGCCTGTGAGTATGGTGGGTGTTGCTACCATGGAGGGGGGGTGTCTCTAGGACGCCAAAGCTGACTATGTATGGACCTAATTGGACGAAAATCTGGTGAAAGTCAGGTCCCACTTGACAACCCCAGTGATGACCTGGTTCTTGCTACCCTTCGGTCTACAAGGTTGAATTGTGAATGCCAGTGTGGTAGGGTGTTAAGTACAAGCGTTGTCAAAACATGGCTAACTCACATACTGTAAACAGAGCCTGGGTCTGTTGAAGGGGCAACTGCGTGGTTGCAGGCAACTAGGGCCGTCAATAGAGCATAGGGGCATAATTGGGGCAAGGGGTTTCTTCACTAATCTCTTATCCCTTCATGAGACCATGTTACGTATTCAAATGCATACTAAGTGTTTCCCACAGAATGATGAGATACCTGGGCAGTGGAGTATGCGCCCCCCAAGCGTACTCCACCGCCCAGGTAATAATAGTGAGTTTGTGACCCTTTATCTTTACCTAAAATATTTATTTAAACGTTAATCTTTAATCATTGTTTGGCATTTCTGCTCAGAGTGGAATGAAGAATGCCTGGTGTGCTTGAATGTGAAAAGTTTTAATTCTGTTGGCAGAAAGTATTCATACTAGTGGTTTAGAAGCTAACGAGTTAATTTAAAAGCCTGTTTGTATTTTATCACTTTCAGAAGTCCAGCAGCTGTTGGTGAGAAAAGAAGAGTTTCCCTTGAGCAGCGAGATTGGAGCCCCACTCCGGACCAGGAGGACCCACCAGTACCATCACACATTAAAGAGGAACAGGAGGAAATCTGGAGCAGTCAAGCGGCAGAGCAGCTTCAAGAGCCACAGGAGGCTGATGTCATCAAGTTCACATTCACTCCTTTCCCAGTGAGGAGTGTAGAAGGTCATGGAGAGAAACCTCAGACCTCACCGCTTCATCAAACCAAATGGTAGAGAACAGAGGCACACAGCATCTGAAAACAGAATCTGATGGAGAGAACTCTGCAGGATCAGAACCAGACAGAAACCATGACCCAGACAATAATTTACATCCTGCAACTTCACACTCCTTCGGATCGAAGACCGACCACAATAGTTTTCCCTTTGAAGAAAGAAGTGACCCTAAATCAGGTTTAAACCCTCTGCAAAACAAGGATAAAGGAGTGAAACCATTCTGCTGCTCAGTTTGCGGTAAAAGATATCCTCAGAAAAGATCCTTAGCAAATCATATGAGGCTTCATTCAGAGGGGAAATTTTTCAGCTGTTCCATTTGTAAAAAGACTTTCCCATGGAAAAGAGACGTTTTGACGCATATGAGAATCCACACCGGAGAGAAACCCTTCAGTTGCTCCTTCTGTGGCACAAGGTTCTCTCAAAGCTCCCATCTGACCTTACACTTAAGAGTTCATACAGGAGAGAAACCTTTCACCTGCTCGGTGTGCAACACAAGTTTTAGTGTCAGGAAAAGTTTGGTTGATCACATGACAACTCATACTGGAGAGAAACCCCACAAGTGTTCAGTTTGTGGTAAAAGATTTGCCCAAAACGGTGCTCTGAGGCGACACCTGGCTGTCCACACAGGGGAGAAACCGTTCAACTGCAGTGTGTGTGATAAAAGATTCACTCGGCTCGAGCATGTCAAAAATCACAAGTGTGCTGGTGAGAGCAGCAAAAATAAATGAAGCTGCAGAAATGCTTGTTGAGCCAATTGTTGCGCAACACTGATTAGCCAAACTTTTAGCTTATCTTTTCAGTTAAGCTAAAGACATAATGGTTTTTAATTATTGTATTTGTTTGAATGTTTTTTGTCATTGTGTGGACACTATTTTTTTTTACAAATACCTGTATCTGTTTATTAAACATTTATTTTAACCTGTGTCCAAATGTCTTCCAAGTATTTTGTTCTACCTTTACAGCACCGTGATCAACATTTCAAAATTAAAATTTAGAGCCCAAGAAATGAGTAAGACTGCATGAAGTGGCCGTGAAAGCGAAGGTGTCATCTCGTATAGAAAAATGTCTGCAGAGGACGCGATACGGCTCATTCTGTGATTCATACAAAAAGTTCCCCGATATGAAACAGGATTTCATGAGATGACTTCAAACCTCTTACGTAGGCTTCCTTCTTCCAGCACTGGAGAGCAGCCCTCCCCTGGCAGCCCTGCAGCGTTCTGCCCCCCAGAAGGCCACCAGAGAGGCAAGGCAAGTTTATTTATATAGCACATTTCAACAACAAGGCAATTCAAAGTGCTTCACACAAAACATTGAAAGCATCATGACAGAGGAAAAAATAAACATTAAAATAAAATAGAAAAATCACAAAGTGAAACCTTTAGTCTGACATAGGTAAGCACGATTCATATTTTATCAGTCAATGTCATTCATGAAGCCCACGCTTACTGAAAGCTTTGGACAGTGTGGAAACACTGACAGACGTGTTGAAAAGGGAATCGCACTTATAGCCTCACAAGCAAACAAATTATTTCCCTTGATATCCTGACAAAAACAACATAAAAACTTCTGGATTTCCTTCTTTGAATTACACATCATAAGACAAGAGTAACAACACAGGTCAAGGTTCTGGATGTGTTATGAAATTGATGAGTTCTTTCTGTTTCCTCACTGAGACAGGTATCAAGAAGGTTACAAGTCACAGGTAAAATATATACACTTGAAGAATTACAACAGGAATTCAAAATTCTCTAAACATACACCTGAGCACGAACTGGAGACAGACCAGAAAAATAGGAACACCTCTTTTACAATAAAATGCGTGAAACTGCAGCTACTAAAATTACCAAAAAACAAAGTTTCACACAAAGAGATTAATTCAACACCAGGGAAGTCCATGAAATCAGTAGCACCGAGATCGAAAAGCGGCACCTGACACGTGCCGTGGCACATGGAAGTGCTGGTGGCCTGTCAGCACGGGGCCACCACCATGAACCGCTAATATTCTACTCCACAATCTCCAATCTAACCACAATCCACCACCATGATTCATTCGTACATTAACAGTGGACTTTACTGACGTAAACGTGTACTTGGTGTCAATGTGTCAGGTGCCGCTCACTCCATGAAATTTGAAATACATTGAGTTATTGATGCATTTAAATAAGTGAACATGTTAGTACCAAACACACAGGCAAATAACAGAATTAACATGAACATGAGGCTTTATCTAAATTGAGATGAAAAGATCAGGAATGTTCTTTTAACCTCAGTCAGTTTAATCCCGCTTCAAGACTCGGCTCTACAGGCATCCCTGGTGCTTCAGTTATTTTACTGTAGCTGCCTCTGTGCTTTTAACAAGTTGGAGACGAGTGAATTTTATGGGCCGTGGATCGTCATGTGTCGTTTCAGACTTGTACTGTATGCAAAGCTTTTCCCACAAACCAAACAATCGAACGGTTTCTCTACGTCGTGAACGTTCATGTGTTGTAACAAAGTCCCACTATGTGCAAACCTTTTCCCACACACTAAACAACTAAATGGTTTCTCTCCAGTGTGTGTTCTCATGTGTATCTTCAGGTGATTACGTGCAAATCTTTTCCCACAAACTGAACAACTGTACGGCTTCTCACCAGTATGCTTTCTCATATGTATAACCATATCTGATCTGCGTCCGAAAGCGGCTTTACACACCGAGCACGCGAAAGGTTTCTCTCCTTTATGAGTTCTTGGGTGTTCCACCAAAGATGAATTGTTTTCTGAATGACCTATCATGTGGTTCTGTAGGTCAGTCTCATATCCAGATCCAGAAAGGTGTGAAGTCTTGTCAGGAGTAACTGGCTGTAAATGACTGTCTGGATTAAAGTCTCGGTCTGGTTCTGGTCCTCCACAGTCCTCTCCATCAGCTTCTGTTTTCAAATGCTCTGTGTCTCTGCCCTCGTTAGTGTTGATTTCATTGAGCCATGAGGACTGAGGGATCTCATCTTCTTCTTCTTCACTCTTCAAGGCGACAGGAGTGAACCTCAGTAACATGCTGATATCAGCCTCTTCTGGCCCTTTAAGCTGCTCTCCGTCCTGGTCCTCTTTGATGTGTGGAGGTTCTGGTGGGTTCTCCTGGATCGGAGTGGAGCTCCTCTCCTGCTGCTCAGGGGGAACCTCTTCTTTGATCACCGTCAGCTGCACGACATCTGTGGAGAACAAAGAAACAACAATGAAACCCGTAAAGTTTCCGTAAACCTAATTTCCTGACAAAACGCCGCAGTTCTATCTTGGACGTGGGGAGAAATATTATCATCATGTTGAAGATTGTACCAGAGTTAGCTGAGTGTTCATTTACATCTGCAGGTAATAACCTGGCCATCACAAAAGAAGTACAAACCCGCTTTGGAAACAGCCTCAAGGAGTTTGTGTTGTCGCTCGTTTTCCTCTTTTAGTTGACACATTTGCTCCTCGTACTCTGATATCGTTTTCTCAAACAGCTCAAAAATCTCCTCAGCAGCTGCAGTCAGTCTCTGCTTCACAAAACATTTCAGCGTTTTGGCTTTTGACATTTTTTACACAATTTAGAGCTTCCAACAGAACAAACAATAACCAGCCTGGGTCACTTTAACTGCGCGGCTACGTTTCGTTAGCTAGCTTCTAGAGCGGAGTTTAGTTTATATTTACAGTCTATGGTTGTAAGTTAGCTAGCTAAGCTAACTTCCTGTCACATTGTGGGCTCAATGGAGATGAGTTTAACGTTGATTCTTCCCAAACAGTGACTCAGGTACACTTAAATGCCTTTTGTTATCTCCGACGGAATGTGGGACGCAGTTAGCATGTTAGCTATCCTCCTCTTCTTCTGTGGAGTTTAGTGGCGCATGGCATCAATACATTGTTGCGTTGCCGCCACCTACTGGAACATATTAGCTGAACAGTGATTTACAAAATATAAAAGAGTAGATATAAGTGGACAATGATCGGACTAACAGATGTAAACAGATGCAACCAGAACTATGTGCAGTAAACGAGAAATAAATATATATATATATATATATATATATGTATATATATATATATATATATATGTGTATACAGAGCTATTTGCAAGTAGGCAAATACTAAATGATAAGTTATTAAGGTGCATGGTGAATAGCCAGGGAGTCTAATGTACATAATTCATGTCTTCTTTCCTTTTGTTGAAGCACAATTAATTTCTTTGCTTTGAACATATTCAGTTGAGGTGCAGTACAGATTCACTTTAACAATTCAACAATAGAGCAGCTGCTCGATCCGGATTAAACGACGTTAAAGGGCATCGAGTGTGCTTGTTCTCAACTTTCTCTGAAGTCCAACACTGCTCCCAAAGTTTCTTCTTCTTCTGGTTGGCTACAGATAAGCCACGAGTGACAGGAAATGTTTGGAGGGGAGAGCGGGGGGTGACAAATAAGTTTTTCGTGATCGTTAAAAAAGAAGAAACTGAAATTTTGTTTACTGACTCTGTAGCAAAAAAAAAAATACCACGATCAGTTTAATCCATAGACTCAGTCGATGTAATGAAATCATCGTAGGAGCCTTCCTTTTATCATCTTTAACTCTGAATGTTTTTAACAAAACAAAGCAGACGCGAAACAGACGATCTCCTCTGAATTACAGCGGCCTGTTCGAAAAGGTTTCCGATCTCTAAAAATATCTTCATACTTTGACTAAATAAAGATCAGTCCACGTCTGGGCTGTTTAAAATAAAATGGAGCAACCTCATCGGAGCCACTGAGGATGAATCAGGCAAAAATAACGAGGTGTTTGTAAACTTGTTCCCTTGTTCTCGGCTTATACACCACAACCATCTTGTGTCTCTGTGTCCAAAAAATATGAGTGAAGAAGTAGAGTAAAGTCACACTGCTGTTTTGGGTGACACGTAGCTTTATGAATATAAACAAGGATCAACAGTAAAAAGAAAAAAAAACATTCCCAACATGTTCTTCGTAATAACTAAACATAAAGGACTCACAGGTAGCATTGACCCAGTCCCTTCAGGTCTCGCGTACTTTGAAGGAATGTCAGTAAACAATCCTGGAGTCCTGCAAAGTCCAACAGAGAACTTCCAAAGTTTCCTGTTGTTGGACAGAATCCCGTTTTATTCTCATGCAGATTGTTTCCTCACCTAGCTGCTGTCTCTTTAAGACCCCCATCCCCACGCTCTCTGTTTATGTTGCAGGAGGATTTGTCTTGTGAAATTTTGACCGAGGTAGACTGACAAAAACGTGGCCTAAATGTGAACTTCAACAAAAGACAAGAAAACTAGAATGACTAAACATATGGGAAGCTAACTCTGTGCCAGTCAGTGCACATTAAATTAGAGTTGGGCATTATAATTTTGATACAGTTAAACCTCCCCCATATTTGCTTTTCCAGGGTACACAATATTGCCGTGACTAAATAGGGCTGCAGAGGAGCCGCCTAAATTCTTAACATGCTGTCAATATATTTAAACAATAACGATATATTCCCTGACTTTATTTAAAAATATATCACACAGAGAGAGAGAGAGAGAGAGAGAGAGACTTTTAGGAATCTGGATGATTTCTGATGCATCCCAGAGAGTAAAACAAACATAAAAGCTGATTGATTTTGTGACCGAGCATCAAGCTAAATTTGGTGCTTGAGTTTAAAAATATTGAGCACAAATCCCATACAGAGATGCAAGACTGAACTTACCGTTGGCTACCTGCGCATCTTCGCTTCACATAACATTTGATTGGTATTTTTTCTGAACACAACTTTAAGACAGGACGACCCCTGGACAAGAGTGTTTTCTGAGACTTTGATGCCAAGCAAATCTTTTATCACAAACACTGCAGCTAAACAGTTTCTGTCCCGTGTGGACGGTCCAGTGGCGGTTTAAGTCCTGTTTCGACGGAAATCTTTTCCCACAAACCGAACAACTGAAGGGTTTCTCTCCTGTGTGGACAGCCATGTGGCGTTTCAGATTTCCATTTTGTGTAAATCTTTTCCCACACAGTGCACAACCAAAGGGTTTCTCCCCCGTGTGGGTTCTCATGTGTACGTCCAATCCTGATCTGCAGGGGAAAATCGCTTTACAAACTGAACAGGTGCAGGTTAGCTGCTCTCCTGTGTCCCCTTGCAGGTGCGTGTACATATGTGACTTTTCTGTTAACCCTTCACCACCGATGACGGGTTTTTCTCCTGTGTGGGTTCTCGTGTGTCTCACAAGCTCTCCCCTCCATGGAAAGCTTTTCTTGCAAACTGAGCAGCTGAAACGATGTCCTTTCGAATGACGAGTCATGTGAGCGGATAAATTAGTCTTATTTGAGTATCTTTTACCACAAATCGAGCAACTGAATGGTTTAATTCTTTCTTGTTTCTGGAGATTATTAATTTGTGCAAAGCTTGAAGCACATTCAGAGGAGCTAACTGATGTTTCTTCAGTAGAAGGTTCCAGTTCACTTATCGGTGCTTCTTTGCTTTGGAGAGGTTTAAAACCGGATAGAGGATCCATATCCACCTCCACATCACGTCGTCCTTTCATCTGACTCAGATCCAGAGAGATGTGAAGCCTCGTCAGGAGTAACCGGCTGCAAATGACTGTCTGGATTAAAGTCTCTGTCTGCTTCTGATCCTCCACAGTCTCTCCATCAGTTTCTGTTTTCAAATGCTCTCCGTCTCCGCTCTCTTCAGTTTGGTTTTCATGAAGCTGTGGGGACTGAGGTTTCTCTGCGTCGTCTTCTTCAGTCTTCAAAGGGTCAGGAGTGGATGTGAGAGTGCTGATATCAGCCTCCTCCAACACTTGAAGCAGCTCTCCCTCCTGACTGATCCAGAGTTCCTCTTCTTCCTCTTTAATCTGTGGTGGTTCTGGGGAGTCCTGCTGCTCAGAGGGAACCTCCTCTTCTGTTCTACATCAGCTGCAGGTCATCTGTGGAGAGTGATTAAATCCGTGATTCTATAAAAACTGAAACCCACAGAGTGAAATGTTGCATACTACGTTAACCCTTTTTCTTAAGTATTCTAACTTAATAATAATCTTTCGAGCTGCCTGTCCCATACGTTGATATCGGCTAACAGGATTGTCCATGGCCTTACTTACGACACCACATTAAAAAACATAAATGTTAGAGGCACTGTTAAGTACGAGGGATGTAAAGATGAATCGTAAAATCGTGCTAAATTCGATTCCCAGGAGTCAAGGTTCACGTCGATACTCTGAAACATGAAACAATAATATGGTGAGCATCAGCAGCTGTAGAGCAGAGTTTGAATTCATTTAGATATTTTAGTGTTTCTACAGATGACACCTTCACGATGCATCGGTGCACACCTCGTCAGCGCTGATGTGTCTTACAATCCTGCTGGAGTTTTCTTTTTTTTTTTTTAAATTAGATATTCATATGAAAGTGAAAGAGATATAAAACACGGAGGGCATTTTTCTAAATCGCTCAATCACGTCGTCATCGTCAAATCTGGTATCGTGGCACCTGTACAAACCTGCTTGGTGTGACCGGGCTTCAGGGCTCAAACTGGAGTCCACAAGTTTCCGTAGTTGCTCGTTTTCCTCTTTTAACCGACAGAGTTGCTCCTCGTACTCAGTCGCCGTCCTTTCGAACAACTCAAATATCTCCTCAGCAGCTGCAGTCAGTCTCTGGTTGGCGAAAAGTCTCAGCACTTGGACTTTAGACATTTTTTTTTTTTTTTTTTTGAATAAATCACAGCGACTTCTACCCCGGACACACCTCGTTAACCTGTTAAACACAGACATAAGAGCAGGGACAGGAAACAGCACCCTGAGCTAAAACAAGCGAAGTCCGGAGAGAAACATCCGGGAACTCTGATCGAAGTCCTCTCGATGTCTAACACATTCATACAGACGTGATCCGATCATTCACTTGGTTTGTGTTTTAGTGGTTAAAGTGGTATAAAACGCGAAATTGTAGCTACGTTAGCCACGATCGGCAAGATTACTTTCGGTGTCACTTCTTCTTCTTCTTCGTTTAAATGGCGGCAGGCAAACAAAGTTACAGAGCATTACTGCCACCACCTGGTGTGGAGTGTAGATCGGGATCACAATCACCAATTCTTATGATAATTACAATGTCATAGTTTGTATTGAATGTGTGTGTCTGAGACATTGATTTAAATAAACGAGGGGGCGCCGGATGTCCCGGCGGTTGTGTCGTGCGTCACATGTGCAGGCGCCGTGGGTTTGAGTCCGGCCTGTCCCCTTTGCTGCGTGCCGTCTGACTCTCTCCGCCCAGCATTTCCTGTCTCCTTTCTGTTGTCCTATCTAATAAAAGGCCTAAAAATTAAAATCTTTAAAATAAATTCATAAAATCCCCCCCCAAAAAAGAAGAGCTTTTTCCCCTCGGCTTTTGAAGCGCTAAACAAACTGGTTGGTGTGAACTCGTATGTGCAACTGTGCAAGCTGTGGCGACAACTTTCCCATTGTTATGATAATAGAAACCTCCAGACGTTCCCCAGTTTACAACAATAAACCACCAATTTCAATATTTAACAGAGTTCATGGGGCGTCGGTAGCGTAGTGTAGTTCAACAGAATCACGCTATCAACTAAAGAGTGGAGGTACTAAACATAATGCAGCCTTTGAATTACATGAATGTGGATCTGGTGGTCTCGTTCAGACACTCCGACCTGTGGCTCCTGTCCCACGGTCCTGTCTCTAAAATAAAGGTATGAAAAAAAGCCTCAAATAAACCTTTAAAAAGAAAACTGGAATCTAGGAGTCCCGATTTTTCAAATAAACAACTAAAAACATTTTTTTTTTTTTAAACAACTGAATAATCAAGATGTATCAAATGAAGAATCAAAAACTACTACAAACCAGATGGAAGTGTACGACTATTGATAACCAGGAAGGTTAAATAAATAAGAAATATACTAATATTGTGTTGTAGTGAAGAGAAAATGCCATCAGGTTATTTTTAAAAATCTAAACCAATATCGACGGCAGCATTAGTTGTACAGGCCACACTGATGACCTTTTGGTCATCCATACAGTTTTAAAATGAATGCATGCAATAGCAAAGACTCCGTATCCCTATAATGAAAAATAACAGACATAAATATAACAGATTTTATGATGTAACGTTGCTTCTCATTGCAATAAGATAAGAACAGTTAAAGGTTAATCTTTAACTTTCAAAGCAATAAATGTTTTAGCACCTGTCTATATTTCAGAGCTTTAACCCCGACCTCTCAGGTCATCCTGTCTCAGGTCTAGTCCTCACGTAGGCGGATAAATCATCCCGTCCACACACGCTCAGTTCTTCATCTTTGTCCACATGAAATCATCAACAACGATGTCCTTTGATATGAGAAAATGTTCTCGCCATTCCTCTGGTTCCTCCTTTGGTTACATCTGTATCTATCTGTGTTGTTTTAACTTGTTGTTGTAAAGCACTTTGTAATCTGGGTATAGAAAGGTGCTATTTAAATATATATATGTTTAATCATTATCTGTGATGAGCCAGATTTTACTCAGCAATTATAAAATATCGGGACCGTTTCTGCGACGTCATTTCTTCGTGCTGCTCTCCGCGACACACTTGTGTTTTTTGAGATACTGGAGCCGAGCGAATCTCTTTCCACAAACGTTGCAACTGAACGCTTTCTCCCCCGTGTGGACTGTCAAGTGGCGTTTCAGAGTTACAAGATGTGCAAATCTTTCACCACAAAACGAACAGCTAAAGGCTTTCTCCCCCGTGTGGACGGTCGAGTGACGCGTCAGTCCTCCGCGCCGCGCGAACCTTTTGCCGCACACGGAGCAGCTAAATGGTTTCTGCCCCGTGTGGATTCTCATGTGTATGCCCAAATTCTTTCTGATACTGAAACTTGTCTGACAAACTGAGCAGGTGAACGGTTTTTCTCCCGTGTGAACTCGTAAGTGGGAGGTCAGGTGTATCCTTTGTGAGAACCTTATACCACAGGCGGAGCAGCTGAAAGGTTTCTCTCCGGTGTGGATTCTCATGTGCCGCACGAGCTCTCCTCTCCATGGAAAGCTTTTCTTACAAACTGAGCAGCTAAAACACGTTCCTTCTGAATGTCGTTTCATGTGCTTTGTTAAGGAGATCTTCTGCGGGTATCTTTTGCCACAAATCGGGCACTTGAACGGTTTCACTCCTGTTTGGAATCCAGCGCGATTTTGCAGATGTTCATCGTGTTCAAAGCTTGTAGCACATTCAGAGCTCAATGGTGTGTTTCCTGCATCACATTCAAGATCACTTACAGGTACATCTTTGTTGTTGGGCAGAGGGGTTTCATCTAACTGAGAGTCACTGGTCTCCTCCCAGTCACAGCTACTGACGTCAGTCTCAGATTCAGAGAGAGACGTGTCGTCATGAGTAACTGGCTGTGAAAGACTGTCTGGATTAAAGTTTTGTTTCTCCCTGTCTCTGCTCTCTTCAGTGTGATTTCCATGACGCTCTGAGGACTGAGGCTTCTCTTCATCGTTCTCTTCACTCTTCACAGGGACAGGAGTGAACGTAAACTTGATTATATCAGCCCCCTCCGGCCCTCGAAGCTGCTCCCCCTCCTCATGAGTCCAGAGCTCCTCCTGTTCCTCTTTAATGTGCGGCGGTTCTGGTGGGTCCTCCTGGTTCAGACTGGAGCTCCTCTCCTGCTGCTCAGGGGGAACCTCTTCTTCACCCGACAACAGCTGCTGGACTTCTGTTGAGACATCACAATTAAAGAAAACTGTTATTTTGATGTTTAGATTTTTAGACCAGGAGAAAATGTTTCACTTTGTGTAATTTGTATTTGTCTAGAGATGAAATGGTCAGTGTTGGAACAGTCACACCTTTTTTGTTTTCCAGCAGTGAAGTCTAAAAAAGGTTGCTATGGTCTACTCTACATGACCCCACATAAACTGCACAAATAAAACCCCTACATATCTACCCTCTATTGCAGATGCGGCTCAGAAGAAGGAACATTCCTACAATCCCACCTGGCACTGAACTTGTGATGGGATTTGGGATTGTGATGCATTATCGAGCATAGATGTTGCTCTCCCAAAGGACTCTGAATACCTTTGGAGAAAATAACTCATCACCTGGGGAATGGCAGCCCATGGTTGTGACTGTGTGCACTATTATCTAAGCTGTATCCCATGGCAACACATTGAAAAGCAGAAGCTGTGAAACATCTGCTGGATCATGAGGTTTTGACATGCTTGTTGTGAGTCACATTTCCAGGAAACCAAAGGTCCATCTGTGCAGCTGTGTGAGCGAATGCAAAACCAAAAAAAAAAAGAAAAAAAAGAGCAAAGAATACGGTCAAAGGTCCAGAATAGCACGAACCTGCTCTGTGGAGGCGGATTTCAGGGTTATAAACAGCGTCCAGCAGTTTGTGTTGATTCTCTTTGGACCGACAGATTTCCTCCTCGTACTCTGCTATCGTCCTTTCAAACAGATCAAATATCTCCTCAGCAGCCGCACTCAGTCTCTGGTTCACAAAAGATCTCAGTATTTGGACTTTAGACATCGTAGTCTGTCTAGCTTTAAGCTAACGATCTACTGTAAGACTGTAAATAAATGACAGACAGACCCCTCTGTAGGCCCCCCTGTGTGGCCTACTAGTCTCTCTTCGTCCGATTTAAGATAGCAAACTACGCCAGCTTCATGTTTCTGCAACTATAAGATCAGGTCCACTTCAACATTTTTGTCAGGAGAAGCAAGCTTTGGTACTTCTCTCAGACTTATGATGATGGAGGTACGTAACGTACGGAATTAGCATTAGCATTGTTGCCGTGAAACGTTCTTCTTCGTCCGTTTTAATGGCGGTTGACAAACAACGAATTTGTTCTTTATCGCCACCAGCTGGTATGGTGGTGGATCCGACTATTTAATGACCGCTGCATCTTCTCAATCAACTTTTTTTGGTCTAAAATAAAGAAATAAAATCCTATAGCCCGTTTTCCCAGAGGTCTTTTATAGAGTGTTGATAATATCCAAACATTCCTCTCAGGTTTTCAATTAGAGATGCGCGATCAAGTCATTTTTTTTTTGTTCCGATCCGATTCCGATACATATACTGAGTCAGATATTTTTATTATCATAATGAATATTGTTGTTGTTGGTATTGTTTGTTAGGCTGCACAAAGCTGTAGACTGCCTGGCATTGCATTGTGCCATGGCTTCACATTCGAACAGGAAGCAGCAACACCTGTCAGGTTTTCAAAGTAAATCTTTCGAAGTGAAGTGTAAGAATTGTACTTTTGATCAGATAGATAGAAGGAGCTGTTCAGTTTCTGCTTGCATGAGGATTCTCTCTGTGGGATAGTTGGTGCATGCTGCTGTCAAGGCATGATTCACTCTCTCTACCTCTCCACAGGTGCATTTTCCAGCTTACCAACCACTACCTGTCCGTAATTTAGTGCTCAGTCTCAGCCTATTACCACACACTGTCCCTCCTGTCCATTCTTACACTTGGTGCATATTTATTGGAATATATGTTGGAAAATAAACCCTCTTCTTGCCACATCCTTGTCACTCCTTGCTCTCTGAAACTCTTACGTTCAGCTCTTCCTCACCACACTTTGCTCTTGTTGCTGCCATGTCAGCTTTCATTCATTCTCCTGTGTCAGTGACATGAGTGCAGCAAAAATCTGAGCATACACTGTAACTACATCTACGGGTCTGACTTCCTCCACCCAACCAGGTGCCCATAATACTGTCACCATCTCTGTAGTGAAGACTGACACCTGATCTGATACATGCTTGCCATGCTGTGTCTGCTTTATTGTTTATCTCGTAATTTTGTCAAATTTCCATCACACTCCCAACCTCATGGAGCGTACTAGACTCCCCCTTTTTTTTTTTTTTTTTAAAACCCTTTTCTGACCTCTCTCTGTGACTCCCAGTGCTCCCCCAACAGACATGCAGCAGGAATGAGAGACCCACAGCTCTGGAGCTGTAGCTGAAAAGCTCATGTAAGAAAAAGTAAAAAAGGCATTTCTAAATCTGTTCCCACATCACCAACTTTAGGAAAAATCACGACCCAAATTTCTGATATTTCTCAACCAATCAGATTTATTTAACGAGGAATCATGAGGTTTGGACCTCAGACGGTGCAAAACATGTGACAGAACAAAGATACATACCAAAACAAACATGTTTAAAAAGCACTCTAAGACTTTTGGCACATTTTTTTCCCACCCATGTGTTGCACCCTTGAAATAAACCGGTCAGAACTCGTCCATCTTCACTTTTAGCAACTTTTATTAAAGAAATGCCCACAGCTTCACACAAGCTTAGTTTTTTAGCCTACACACACCTCTATGTCTTCTTCACTGAGCCTCCCTTAAACGGCCAGTGTGTTAATCTTGGCTCTAAACCCACCAGTTGAGAAGCACAGCTTTAAAACATTCCTGCCAAAAAAACACCCTTGAAAAAAAGAAAAAAAACACAAAAGTTTTGTTTCTCTCCTTGATTCTAAGAAAAAGCAAACACACAACATTTGTGTTTTTTGACCATCAAGCCAGGTAAATCTGTCATCACAACGACTGCAACTCAAACAGGTTCTCTCCTGTGTGGACAGTCAGGTGGCATTTCAGCTGTTTATTTTCTGCATACCTTTTCCCACAAATTGAACAACCATACGGTTTCTCTCCTGTGTGTACCAACAGGTGACGTTTCAAGTTTCCTTTTAGTGTGAAGCTTTTCCCACAAAGTGAACAACTAAAGGCTTTCTCTCCTTTGTGGATGAGCAAATGGCGTTTGAGATCTCCATGTTCTTGAAATCTTTTCCCGCAAACTGAACAAGTCACGCGTTTCTCTTCCGTGTGGATTCTCATGTGTCGCTTTAGAGAGTACTTTTTAATCTTTTTACCACACACTGAGCAAACACAGTTCTCCCCTGTATGGATTCCTGAACAAACAGAACAGGCATGAAGTTCTCCTCCTGTGTGAGTATTTAAGTCTGAGTTTAAATTTGACTTTACTGAGAACCTTGTACCACCGACAGAGGAACTGAAGGGTTTCTCTTCTGTGTGGATTCTCATGTGTGCCAGAAGCATTCCTCTCAATTTAAAACTTTTTTGACAAATGGAGCAGCGGAAACAATTCTCCTCCGAGTGACATTTCAAATGTTTTCTTAAGAAGGCTCTCCGCATATATCTTTTACCACAAAATGAGCAACTGAATAGTCTCACTTCTCTTTTTATTTCTATGTTTTCTTGTGGATGTTCATGTTGTCCAAAGCTTGTAGCACATTCAGAGGAGTGTAGAGATGTTGTTCCAGGACCATAAACAATGTCACTCATAGTTTTAAAGGTCTTGTCCCAATCCCAAAGACTGTTATTGTCCTCAGAGTCAGAGTGTGAAGTCTTGTCAGGAGTAACTGGCTGTAAATGACTGTGTGGATTAAAGTCTCCGTCTGGTTCTGATCCTCTGCAGTCCTCTCCGTAGGCGTCTGCTTTCAAATGCTCTGTGTCTCTCCTCTCTTCAGTTTGGATTTCATAAAACTGTGAGGACTGAGGTTCCTCTTCATCATCTTCTTCTCTCTTCACAGGGACAGGAGTGAATACAAACGTGCTGATATCAGCCTCCTCTGGCTCTTGAAGCTGCTCTCCCTCCTGACTGCTCCAGAGCTCCTCCCGGTCCTCTTTAATGTGTGGTGGTTCTGGTGGGTCCTCCTGGTCCAGACTGGAGCTCCTCTCCTGCTGCTCAGAGGGAACCTCTTCTTCACCCGACAACAGCTGCTGGACCTCTGTTGAGAACAATTAAAGACAGTTTTAGAAAACTATTTTTTTTGCGCCAATATTTTGAAGCAGCGATAGAAGAATTCTTGAGTTTAAAAAAGTGAGAAGTGGTGCAGTGCTGGAACCCATGAAGACAGGATTTTAAAACTTTTCCACATTATGTGATATAGTTATGCATTGACCATAGTTTGTGTTCATTTTTCTGTTATGTTTTTTTTTTACCAAGGGAACATGAGCTGGGATTAAAAACTAAGTGTTGGGGCATCGGTGGTCTAGCTGCTCCGCTTCCCATGTAGAGAGGTAGTTGTGCTTGCAGAGGACAGTCTGGGTTTAGAGTCAAAGAGTTGTTAAAAATAAGACAGACAGACATCAATAGGAGATAGGGAGGAGACAGCAGGACAGACAGAAGTCTTAGAAAAACCCTAAATGTTGCATAATATGAGCACAAAGCTCTTAATAGTAACAAATGGGAGTCGATTTGCCCTGTACAACATCAGGATGATCAGACCTTACCTGTCAGAACATGCTACACAGCTCCTGGTTCAGGCTCTTGTGATATCACGCATCGACTATTGCAACTTTCTACTGGCAGGTCTTCCTACATGCACTATCAAACCCCTGCAGATGATACAAAATGCAGCAGCACGACTGGTCTTCAACCTTCCTAAAAGAGCACGTCACTCTGCTGTTCATCTCCTTACACTGGCTCCCAGTTACTGCTCGCATCAAATTCAAAACTCTGCTGCTCGCTTACAAAACGGCTCCTCCTTACTTTAACTCTCTCATCCAGGTCTACACTCCCTCCCGCCCACTAAGCTCTGCCAATGAAAGGCGGTCTGATCCAAACCTTCACAACAGGTGTCCTAAGATGCTGACTAGACTCTTCTCCTCTGTCGTCCCTTTGCACCTTTAAGAAAAAGCTAAAGACCCAGCACTTTAAAAAAAAAAAAATACCACGACCTGATGACGATGGTTAAGATATTGTTGATGATGACAGTAATGATGATGGTGTCAAGACGTGTTTAATGTAAAATGAAGACACTGACATGTCACTTTATGTGCATGTGGAAGAAAGAGAGAGACAGACCAGTGTGCGTGTGCGAAATCCACTTATTAGCTCCTCTCGGACAACTGTGTGCGAGATTGAACGGTTTCCATGGTGATATGAATTCAAAAAGGGACTGCTGTAATTTAATTCTGGGGGATTTAGCTGGATTTAAACCTCTGAAACTCCAAAGAAAATCAGCACATCACCACATATCTTCACAGTTTAGGAGAATGTAGATCGCTTCTCGTGGTTTTAAACCAACACTAACAATAAACTACACGAACCATATCTGTGTAAGCGGACTTCAGGGTTGTAAACAGCATCCAGTAGTTTGTGTTGTCGCTCGTTTTCCTCTTTTGATCGACGAAGTTGCTCCTCGTATTCTGCTATGGTTCCTTCAAACAGATCAAATATCTCCTCAGCAGCCGCAGTCAGTCGCTGGTTGACGAAAGATCTCAGTGTTTTCACTTTAGACATTTTCAACACACGAGCAGAGCAGCGTTTTCTTAACACACACACCGAAAAGAAAAAAGGAAATAGTAGCCTATCTGGCGTTAGCTTTGTCGCTTTAATCACGTGTGTGCTCCAGTTAGCATGCTAAGCTAAGTCCATACGCGTCTTCTTCTTCTTCTTCTTCTTCTTGTGGGTATATTACTGCCCTCCGAATGACACACTCGCGTTTATAGACATAAACGTCTTTGAAAGTCAGCAGGATTTAATTTAAACACTTAAACAGGTGATACTACTGTGAAGAACCCTGGGTCGAGTCTTCCTGTTGTTCTCTTGTTTGTTTGTTTTTCTTCTTCTGGTGATTGGCTAACAACGTATTGGTTGCATTACCGCCACCTGTCGGTAGGGATCGGAAACCGGAAACTCCAAGCTAATGAACTGGAATGAGCTGGAGCTAGGCGACAAAGCTCAAATCAGACACCGCTTTTAAAATGATGTATGTGTGAATAAAAAGCTTCTGTCCGTGTGTGGAAAATGTCTAAAGTCCAAACACTGAGGTCTTTCGTCAACCAGAGACTGACTGCTGCTGCTGAAGAGATATTTGATCTGTTTGAAAGAACCATAGCAGAGTATGAGGAGGAAATCTGTCGATCAAAAGAGGAGAATGAGCGACAACACAGACTGCTGGATGCCGTTTTCAAACCTGAAGTCCGCTTACACAGATATGGTTTGTACAATTCAATGATGTCGACATTTTTTAAACTGATGGGAAACCAGCTGTCTTCTCACTGAGCTGCTTTATGTCGGTGTGTCCTCCTCATCCCCGCCCATTCTGCTGATCCCTTTAAAAACATATTTCTTATCATGTTTCTGTCAGTCTGCTCTCTCTCTCTGTGTGTGTGTGTGTGTGTGTGTGTGTGTGTGTGATTGGCAGAGAATCAAACCTACAGTTCAGCTGAAAGGCTTGGAGAGGGTAAAAGGATCCAGCAGCACTTGTAGTACGAAGATCAATTTGATGAAGTCCCAGGCAAATTTCCCACTGGGACAATACAGTTCATCTTATCTCGTCTTATCTTATTCACTTAATATGATTCACCTTGTGACCTTTGATGACCCTGCTGGAGGCCACAAGCCAAGTTCATGAAGTTGATCATCATACGAGTGTTGCTTAATTCTAGTTGTTTACTTCTGATTTTTTTTATTGATCTTATTGGCTGATATTTCTTTCTCTTATCAGCCCTCATTGGTGAAACCTTGGGCACTTTTATTATTTGTATCTTCTTTATAAATATATTTTATAGGCTTTTTTATCATGTTGGTCTGTTATTTCTTATCTGGTAATCGTGTCCATTTTTGTTTGTAAAATTGTCCGTGAGTTCTTTTGTTTGCTGTCCTTTAATCGTAAATGTATTTCATTTTTTTTGTTCGTACCTGCCTTTAGGGGCTACGGATGAATTGTAGCTTTTGTGCTAATTCCGGCATATTGACTTTGATGCGATTTGCTCATTCATATGCGCTGTCCTAATTCAATAAATAAATGTTAAATTGTTGTCCTTCTCTTCATTGTGTTGTTTTTTGTTACATCTGTTTCACATCGTGTGTCATGATGGACGTCACTTTGCTGGCTGCAAAACAAATCTGCCCACAGATACAAGCTCTACAATAAAGGCAACTAAAGGCCACCTGCTAAAAAAAGTCAGACAATATTGGTACCTGTTTCAAGTCTTACTTTATGCTCCCCCAAAACACAACATCCTCTTTTAAGTTCACATATCCTCCTCCTCTTCAATCAGTCTAAATAATTCCGAGAGCTCACCAAAACATGTCTGTGAAGTTTCTTGTTCTAAATCCACTCTGATCCTGTATTTGATCATGCCTATAAACCCCTCTATTTCAGCCCTGCTCAGAACAGGCTGTTTCTGTGTCTGTACCTTTAAATGTAAATGAGCTGTGTCTGACCACGCCCCCTCTCTGGAAGGGCTTGGGTGTCTCGGGCTTTCTCGCTTCATGCCTTATTGTTTACGGTAAGAAGGCAGACTTGACCAACTTGGGATGGGTTACTGCCCTTTGTGATGTCATGAAGGGAAAATCTCCAAACGGCCTGTTTGAGCACACATTTTCTGAAAAGTGGAGCAGGCAAAAGAGTCTGTAGAGGATGGACTTTTCTCATCATTCGTCGTTTGTAGACAGACTAGGGACACATGTTAGATTTAGAGGAACATGGGGAAGAGGATTTTGTATAATATGTCAGCTTTAACTGAAACACTGATAAATGCACAACAATATCACATAATGTAAAGAAAATATAAAATCCTTCCCACAAATGAGCTCACATAAATTGTGAATCTAAAAATGTTCATAAAAATTACTTTTTCATAAACTTTATGTCTTAAATTGTTCTCAACAGAGGTCCAGCAGCTGTTGTCGGGTGAAGAAGAGGTTCCCTCTGAGCAGCAGGAGAGGAGCTCCAGTCTGGACCAGGAGGATTCACCAGAACCACCACACATTAAAGAGGACCGGGAGGAGCTCTGGAGCAGTCAGGAGGGAGAGCAGCTTCAAGGAGCAGAGGAGGCTGATATCAGCATGTTTGTATTCACTCCTGTCCCTGTGAAGAGAGAAGAAGATGATGAAGAGGAACCTCAGTCCTCACAGCTTCATGAAATCCAAACTGAAGAGAGGAGAGACACAGAGCATTTGAAAGCAGACGCCTACGGAGAGGACTGCAGAGGACCAGAACCAGACGGAGACTTTAATCCACACAGTCATTTACAGCCAGTTACTCCTGACAAGACTTCACAGTCTGACTCTGAGGACAATAACAGTCTTTGTGATTGGGAGGAGACCTTTAAAACTCTTTCAATTTTCAACCCTCTGCAAAACACAATAGTGACTGTGAGTGATATCGATCGTGGTCCTGAAAGAACATCTTTAAGCTCCTCTGAATGTGCTACACGATTTGGGCAAAGGGAACATCCACATGGAATCAGAGGTATAAAAAAAGGAGAAAACCACTGAGTTGCTCATTTTGTGGTAAAAGATATATGCGGAGAGCCTTCTTAAGAAAACATTTGAAATGTCACTCGGAGGAGAATTGTTTCCGCTGCTCCATCTGTCAAAAAAGTTTTAAATTGAGAGGAATGCTTCTGGCACACATGAGAACCCACACAGAAGAGAAACCCTTCAGTTCCTCTGTCGGTGGTACAAGGTTCTCAGTAAAGTCTAATTTAAACTCAGACTTAAATACTCACACAGGAGGAAAACTTCATGCCTGTAAAGTTTGTAAAATGAGTTTTAGTCACATCAGAGATTTGTTTGACCACGCAGGAATCCATACAGGGAGGAAATGCACTTGTTCAGTGTGTGGCAAAAAAATGCACATGTACTCTGTGAAGAGACACATGAGAACCCACACGGGAGAGAAACGCGTGACTTGTTCCCTTTGCGGGAAGAGATTTGCAGAACATGGAGATCTCAAACGCCATTTGTATATCCACAGTGGAGAGAAAGCCTATAGTTGTTCAGTTTGTGGGAAAAGCTTCACACGGAAAGGAAACGTGAAACGCCACTCTTACGTCCACACGGGAGAGAAACCGTATGGTTGCAGTGTTTGTAATAAAAGATTCACACAGATCGGAGGCCTAAAAAAACACAAATGTTGTGTTTTTACCTTTTCTTAGAAGGAGATATATATAATTCTTTATTCATGTATCTGAGGCTTTTATCCAAAGCGACGAACATCAGAGAGTAAGAAAGACACATGCAAGGATCTAGAGAGGAGGAGACAACGTTAGGAAGTGCAAATGAATAGCTTTAAGTCTGATCGGGAAGTGACCAGAGGCAGAGCACTTTTTTTTAATAATTAAAGTTAATATATCGTCACCACCAACAACAACATCGACAGCTCATGAAAGACTCAGAGCTTCCCTAAACATGTGTGTGAAGTTTCTTGTTCTAAATCCACTCTGATCCTGTATTTGATCATGTCTATAAACCCCTCTATTTCAGCCCTGCTCAGAACAGGCTGTTTCTGTGTCTGTACCTTTAAATGTAAATGAGCTGTGTCTGACCACGCCCCCTCTCTGGAAGGGCTTGGGTGTCTCGGGCTTTCTCGCTCCATGTCCTATTGTTTTCAGTGAGAAGGCAGACTCAGACTGCAGAACAAACACCTAGCTGTGGGAGTGTCACCCACCTGGGGGAGGGGTTACTGCCCTATAAGATAAGATAATCCTTTATTTATCCCACAACAGGGAAATGATGTCATGAAGGGAAAATCTCCAAACGGCCTGTTTGAGCACACATTTTCTTAAAAGTGGAGCAGGCAAAGGACGGAGAGGATGGACTTTTCTCATCATTGTGTGGTTTGTAGACAGACTAGGGACACATATTTGTGTTAGAGGAGCATGGTGAAGTGGATTATCCAGAATATTCGACCTTTAAGTAATTCTACTTGTGGGATGACTTGTCTATTGCTCTCCACTGTTTTCAACGCCATGGATAATTGATAACCTTGTCAAAAAATAGTTCAGTATAAGTTGGAAGAATGTGCCGACACTATGAAAAAGATGTGTGACATAACTGTTTTAATATCTAACATGAACAGATCACATAGAGAGAGTTTGATTTCATCTTGATACTGTTTATCATTCGACATATTTCTCCCCTTTTATCCTATTTGAATAAGTGCATTAATACTTTTCAATCAACAGTCCACAACCACAAGGTGGCAGTAATGTGCCACTAATGTGTCCTAACCAAGACGGCCATGATACGTCACCATCATGGTGAGGAAAGGGGGGGGAGAAGGTTCTTCTGTGGGCTGAAAATGTTTGATATTTAAAAGATGGTGTGTTTATTCTCTTCTTTGATGTAAGTGATGTTCTTCTGTGAACTGCAGGTGTTGATTAAACAGTCTGTTCAATTAAAGAGGAGTGAAAGCAGAACGTCTGATTTGATTACTGATCAGATTAGGGTCTGAAGGAGAAGAGGATGAGGAGGACGATCAGGATGTCATCTGAATAGGAGCCAATTTTAATTCTCCCTCTGTGAAAGTTACATGTGTGTGTGTGTGTGTGTCCTCAGTGAAGTGTGTCAGTCTCTGCAGAAACTTCCAGCTGCAGCAGTCAGTTCAGTTTCTGTTCAGTCTGACTGAGGGAGGTTTTTGTACAACGCCTTTTCACTGTATGAACACATACTGACTGCTGATGCTGTGAATACTCTGACAGTAGTAAACTGCTGCATCTTCAGTCTGAACTCCACTGATGGTCAGAGTGAAGGCAGAGCGTGATCCACTGCCTGAAAAACGATCTGGAATCCCTGATGCTCGATTGCTAGTATAGTATATAAGCAGTTTAGGGGTTCCTTCATCTTTCTGTTGGTACCAGTGCAAATAGCTATTACTATAAACATTCTGACTGGTCCTAAATGAGATGGAGACAGAGGCTCCCAGAGCAGAGGTCACTGCTGCAGGCTGAGTCACTGTGACCTGTCCTCTGGACTCTGAGGATACAGAGACAAAAACAGAAAGCAGCGTCAGGGTTTAGTGGGCTTCATTTCAGAGGGACGGATGTTCTTAGAGGAGAGGAGTTTGATTCTCTGGACTTTACTTGTGAAGCAGCAGCAGAGGAGGAGAGTCCAGATGAGGACGCAGGTCAGAGTCATGTTTTTGATGATGAGGACGAGGATTTCTGTGATGAAGGACAGCTGTCAGTCATCCAGTGTTCAACTGTCAGGACTTGAAACTCTCCCAGAGCACTCTCATTACTCTGTTTATCAATCAATCAATTCATTTTTCAATTCATGAGAAAACTTTAAAAACAAATGTAATATGTGTTCATGTTCATGCTTCTAGAAACATTTATTCTGATAGAAATCATGAGTCGTAATTAATGATATTCTTGAGAAAATGATTTAAAAATAATTATATAATATTATATAATAAAATAATAATTAAAAATGTTTAAGCAGAAAATGAATAGAACACTTAGAGGAATTTGATCAGGTCAATCAATGAAAATACAAATCAATACCCGTTTGCTGAGATCTAGAACATTCTTACATATCTGAAATTGTGTTTTGGCCCCGATAAAAGCTTGATCACACAGTTGAATTAAACAATTTCTGTCGTAGAAAAAGTGAAATATTTATATACGTATATATAATAATATATAAGTATTTCAGAGATGCACATCTACCCTTGTTGAAGCTCCAAAAATGAGGTAATAAAAACATGTTTTGAGAAAAGTTTATAGAAGACAGATGGAAAAAGTTGCATTTTTGCACGCTGACATAAGGAACAAACACTGCCTCATTATATTATGGTAAGGAGAGGTATAAGAGTCCCTGGTACCAAATAAAAATACAGGTGTGGCACATGTTGGATATGAAAGAAGATGAATTGAAGCATATGTTATATATTGGGGAAAAAAGAGACCTTGCTCTTTGAGAAAGCGAAGGTTGTGAAAATAAAGCTGAGATGGGTCAAATGGTTTTATACTGGATAAAATGGAAAGATTAGGATTAACCCTGTAATACCTACTACTTGGAAACTGAGGGATGTCCTTTTATATTAAAACCATGTGTTGAACTGATGTAAAAAATAAAAAATAAACAAGATACAAATAGAATATCAAAGAGATACGACATTAAAGCTAGATTAACCCTCATTTCGGAACAGGAAGGAATGTCTGACTTTGAAGTGTAAATGTATTGCCACTGTGAATGAGCAACCAGTCATAAAATGACTACTATCACTCCTCATCAAATTATCAATTTTCAGTTCCTAATACTGTAAAGGTTCATAATAAAATCACTTGCCTATTATTGTCGACATTTTATGAACAAGTTGTGACATTATTAACAGGTTATGGCATTATTAGCTGTTACATTAAAACCCAGGACAATGTAACACATACAGCTGATTATGTTATGTAAAGTTTTATTGTCATACTTTAATGCTATTAAATCTACATTAAAATGTATGACCAACTTAACAAAGGAGTTGTTCACAAAGCTTTTAAGTGCAATGTAAAACAAGTCTAAAAAATACATTGGAACTCTTTGAGCCTAGTTTGAGCAAATATAACTTCAAATATTGACAGTAATATGTTCTGATACCTTTAAATGTCCTAAGCAGGTTGTCCAAAAGCTAAATGCAGTGCAGGGGAAAAGCTTTAAAACACAATGTAAAATTACGAAAATATTATTCTTATTTCAAAATACCACAATTTAATTTCCCATAGGTACAAGAACTATGTCTATTATTGGAAATTGTTTAAATAAGTTGCAAAACTGTAAAGAAATTGATTTTATGTGTAATTTAAATACAGGAAAAATCACACGGCATTCTGCCATTTGATCATTGTATGACCATAATTTACTTCAACTTTTTACAGTAAAATTGTCTCATATTTATTATTAAGCTAATGGACCATGTCTAGTATTGAAGTCCACTGAAATTATTTGCCAACCTATCAAGACATTGATATATGTGCAATTTAATACAGGGCAAATCACATAGAATTGTGTCTTTGGAGCCGAGTTTGACCATATTTTACTATTGGACCATGTCTAGTATTGAAATCCACTGAAATAATTTGCAAACCTAGCGAGGCATTGATTTTGGTGCAATTTAAAAGAGGGAATATCAAATTGTAATCTGACATCTCAGCCAAGTTTGACAATATTTGACTTCAAATGTCTACAGTGAAATTGTCTCATTTTTATTAATACACTAATGGAACATGTCGAGTATTGAAATCCACTGAAATCATTAGCAAAAATATCAAGACATTGATTTTATGTGTAATTTGATAAAAAATCACACTGCATTCTATCTATCTATCCATCTATCTATCTACCTACCTACCTACCTACCTACCTACCTACCTACCCATCCATCCATCCATCCATCCATCCATCCATCTATCTATCTATCTTGAAGGGGAGACTTTCAGTCCAGTGTCACATGGGTCCGCACGACCCTCTTCTTGTTTACCTTAAAGGCGTGGGTAAACGCGGGTTCAATTGACTCTGCTGGAGCTCACTTGAGAGCCGTCATGCCTCTTGCCAGGGCGTTTATTGACATTGTCAGACCAGACACAGAGCTGACAAGCTTTATGTTGTGTGCAATAGTAGCAGGAGTGTCGCGCCTGAGCGCCTGTGCCATGGAAGGACTCAGCTTGCACCTCCTGTGAAATGTATTACAATCCATTTTTAAAAAAGATTAAAGGAAGAGAAGTCAGGCGCAGTTTCTTTGCCGAGGTTTTGTTGTAAGCCAAAATGTATTCTGTTCTTCTGCTTATATCTCCACCTTCTCTTAATTTCATCTGCTGTTCTTCTTGTTTTACCAATGCCAACGATGTTATATTCTCCCATGTAGCGTTTCTTTTTGCAATATTCAGATTTCTTTTTCTCCATGTTTCATGATAGACCTATATAGAATACACTTATCTCCGTCAATGAAAGATTAGGAAATGATGTTTTTGTACTTTTCTAACCAAAAGTCCGTCATTCAGGAAGTTTATGAGTAACACTGAAATATTTGAGCTTTGGTTCTTTACCACCAGCTGAAGATGACCCTGTTTTTTATATTTGAGCAATTATAAGTAATTTTTTGGAGTGAACACACAATTTAGTAGTCTTGGGATCTTAGTCTTTCAAATTATATTATAACAAGTTTATTATGTACACACTTCATTTTAATCAGACAGCAGATGGCGCTGTTGATCTGATGATACATGACCATTCAGACGCCGATTTCCCCTTCTCATCCTCCATCTCAGTGGATCTGGCACAATAGTCAGATAATTTCACCATGCTGATCACGCCCCACACAGATTTCAGCCTCTTGCTCCAACACACACCACCATCTCTTTTAACGCTATTCACACACATGCATGCATTATTCTTTTTCCAAAAGATATAACAAATATTCACAGTTCTTCAATTTAATTCTTCCAAAACGAATTATACAAATAAGTCCAAAAACAGCCT